AGTTTATTAAATAGCTTGTTAAATAGGATACAAGGCAGTGTCATGTAGTGGATAAAAGTAATAATGATTATAATATTAAGAGCTAATATATACTGAGCACTCTCAATGGAACAGGACCTGGGACATGTGTTGTCCCTTTAACCCTGAAAAAAAGTGCTACTGACATCTTTATTTCAGAGACTGAAATTCAGGGTGCTGAGGATTGAGCATGGAGCTACTTTCCCAAGCTCACACAGCAAAGACACCAGATTCCATCTACTGCAGGTTGTCTGACTGGGAACCCCCATGCACCTGGGAGGTGACAGAAATAGGAGGCATGTGCTGGGTTTGGAAGAGACTCCTGGCGAGAGAGCCCTGTTGGGCCAGATGGGGCTGAAAACAAATGTTGAGTGGGAGAAAAGTCGAGTTCCAGGGGCGCTACAAGCAGCAGGATCTGCCTTTTATAAAGTCCAAAAACACTAAACCTCAACAACATGTTCTTTCAGCTTGCATTTATGTATGATAACAGTAATTTAAAAGCAAGGGAACAACACACAGTAGGAAAAATGTTCCCCTCTAGAAAGAAGGGGGCAGGGCAGGAGACAGGATGGGGAGGCGCACGTAAGTAGATGTAAATTACTGCTAATTTTTCTAGTCCTTGGTTTGAATGATGGGTTCATCAAGGCTCCATTACATAACTATGTGTTAAGTTTTTAAAGAATGCAATAAAAGAGCCAGATACAGTTTGCCTTGAGCCACAATTATGAAAAAAAAAAAAAAAAAAAATCCAACTTTGTGCATCCAAGGACCAGATTTTTAAAAAATAAAGAATAAAAGGAATAAGAAATGAACAGCCAAGTACTCATTAACAAATTTAAGAAATAAAAGCTGACCAACATGGTGAAACCCCATCTCTACTAAAAATACAAAAATTAGCCAGGGGTAGTGGCTCATGCCTATAGTCCCAGCTACATGGGAAGCTGAGGCAGGAGAATCTCTTGAACCCAGGAGGTAGAGGTTGCAGTAAGCCGAGATGGTGCCACTGCACTCCAGCCTGGGCGACAGAGGCGACCATGTTTTAAAAAAGAAAGAAAAAGAGAGAAAGAAAAAGAAAAAGAAAACAGTGTATATATAGTTGAAGCTCCCTGTATTCCCATCCTCAATTCCTTTCACCATTTTTGTCCCCAGAAAACACCCCATTCTTGACTAGTGTTTTATGTTCCTTTGCTTTTCTTTTTAAAACTTCAATGCACACATATGCATCCATGAACAATAAATGGTGGTTTTTGCATGACTTAAAACATTAATAAAATTGTATTATTCTATACATAATAGCCTACTTCTGGCTTTATTCACTCAATATTATATGTTGGCATCAGTAGCACCACTTCCCTCATTTTCCTCATCTGTAGAGTATGTATTTTTTGTAACTTTTATTTTAGGTTAGAGAGTACATGTGAAGGTTTGTTATACAGGTAAACTTGTGTCATGAAAGTCTGTTGTGCAGATGATTTCATCACCCAGGCGTTAAGTCTAGTACCCAATAGTTCTTGCTTTTTGTTCCTCTCCCTCCTCCCACCCTCCACCCACAAGTAGATCCCAGTGTGGTATGTATTTTATACGAACATGGCACAATTTATCCATTTACTTGGTGAAGGACATTTAGTTGTTGCTAATTTTTTGCTGCTGCAAATAATGCTGCCTCAACATTCTTAGACTTATCTCCCTATGCACATGTGCAAGAGTTTCTCTAGTTCACACCTTGAAATAGAATTGCAGGATACAGGTCATAGGACATGTATCTCTTCAGCTTCACTAAGCAATGCTAAATTGTTTCCCAAAGTGTTCGTGCCAGCCCGCACACCCACCAGCATTTTATGAGAGCTTCCATTGCTCTGCATCATCACCGACGCTTGGTATCATCCAACTTTTCTATTTTCGCCATTTTGGTGGGTGTGGAGTGTTAGTGTGGTTTGGCATTTCTCTAATTACTAATGAGATGCAACATCTTTTCTTGTGTTCCTGAACATTCATGTAGCCTTTTGTAAAATACATTTTTATGTCTCTTGCCAAGTTTTTTTCTATTGGAATGTCTGCCTTTGTCATCAATGTACAGGCATTAATTCTATATTCTGGATGTGCTCGTGGGTTTTGTGTATGAGAAATATCTTTTCACTCACTTTTGTATTTTTAGTTGAACAAAAATTTTACATTTTACTATTGCTAAACTTAGTTTTTTTTTAATTTTCAGTTGGTACTTCTGACGCCTTGTTTAAGGAATTCTTCCTGAACTTGTGGTGATATAGATGTGATTTCTATTGCAACTTCTGTATGTATCAGGCTTCCAAATGTCCTGGCTTTTACTGTGTCGTTATTCTATTGGTCTATCTCTGTGCCAAAACCATCTTAACCACTGCAACTTTATAATAACGTCCACTAGGGCAAGCTCTCTTCACTTAGTTGTTGCCATAGCTATGTTACTGTTGTCTTCTTCTCTTCCTTGCTCTCCTTTTTCTTCCCTCTTCCTCCTTCCCCCTCTCCCTCTAGTCCTCCTCCTCCTTGTTCTTATCTTCTTTCTTCTCCTGGAATATCTTAGCTATTTTTGACTATTGTTCTATATGTTATACATTTTAGAATCACCTTGTCAATTTCCACTGAAAACCTTATTTAGATTTTGATTTCAGCCTTATCTCACAATTACTGAATTTATCAATTATGTTGTAAAGAATTCACGTTTGTGACATGGAATCCTTCCATGATGGAATGTAACATGTCTCTCCCATTTATTTAGAACTTCGTGAACATCTTTCTATTTTTCACATAAAGATCTTGCACATTTTTGGTTAGATTTATCCCTGGGTTTTTGTTCTTTTGAAAACAGTATCTTTTTAAAAAATTATTTATGACTTTTTATTGGTAGTCTATAGAAATGCTCCGTTGGTTCCTTTTTTTAAAAAAGATAGATTTTCAACTACTCAAGATTGAGACGGGAGTAGATGTGTCAACAGGAACTGGATAACTTAGATATTCAGAACAGACATTCAGCAGCAGACAAATGGCATGGCTGTGCTGATTACAAAAATCTTGAAATATTTCCATAATGGGTACCCTTGATTTCTTTCCTGTCATACTGGCCATCCTGATCTCTCCCTGGGGACAGGCCCAGACCTCTCCAAGATCCAGACACCACTGTATTAACACCAGGTATGGCACGGGGCCTCAACTTTTGCTACATTAGGAAGGCCAGTTTCTGTTATGGGTGTTTGATTCTCATGCCTTGTGAGTTACTACATATCTTTAATATTACTCCTTAGGTTCATATATTGGTAGTAATGTAAACACCAAGGGTAAAATATTAATCTGAGTACTTTCTCAACAAGAGGTGATCAGTTTTGGGGTTCAAGGAGGGAGTTGGGAGATCTGAGATGAAACTAAGGAAATTCTATTCAGCACTGGCCTCTGAAATCCCTGAAATCCCCTCCCCTGAAATCCCTGCAGCTTCACCATACTCCTCTTGAAGCTCCTGCAGGCACTTCAAAAGTAACATATTTTAGATTGAACACATTATCTCTGCCTGCTAAATCAGCTCTCTGTCTCTGCCTCCCCTAATTAGTGGAATTGCTTCTCTGACTACCTCGTCCCCTTCAGTAGAAAATTCAAAATCATCCTAGACTGTGCCTCACCCTTATATACTCTTTTTTTGGTCACTTACCAAGATCTGACAATTGCATGCCATGAAAAAATCTTTTGAGTTTGACCTTTTCTCCAATCCCATTGCTGCTATCTATTAAGTTTTGGAATCGTTTCCTAAATGGTGTCCTGGCTTCTGTATCAGTCTATTTTCACACTTCTATGAAGAAATACCCAAGACTGAGTAATTTATAAAGGAAAAAGGTTTAATTAACTCACAGTTCTGCATGGCTGGGGAGGACTCAGGAAACTTACAATCATGGTGGAAGGGGAAGCAAACACATCCTTCTTCACAAGGCAGCAAGAGAGAGAAGTGTGCGGAGCAAAGCAGGAAGATCCCTTTATAAAACCATCAGCTCTCATGAGAACTCAATCACTATCATGAAAACAGCATTAAAGAAACTGTCGCCACGATCCACTCTCCTCCCACTAGCTCTCTCCCTAGACACGTGGGGATTATGGGGATTACAGTTAGAGATGAGATTTATGCAGGGACACAGCAAAACCATATCAGCCTCCAACCTCTTTTGCTACTCCAGTCCCTCCCCCGACACTGCTCTTGGTATTGCAGTCCCTGCCTGGTCCATAGCCTGCTCCTTCTTCATCTGTGAAAGGGAGAGTAGTGGGAGCCATCAGCCTGGGCAGGGAGCAGTGTTTTATCACTGCACTGTTTAGAATGGTGCCAGTACAAAGGAGCTTGACTTTCAGCCAATTTATTATTGGGTTTAAATTCTCTACACGCAATCACTGCTTTTTCCTACATCTGGCCAGTGTTCCCACTCACTCCCCTTGGTATGATGCTGGAGGTAACATGATCTGCCATGAAGGTTAAATATAACAACATTCACTGAGAACTTAGCCCAGGCCTCTGCACATGCTGAGCATTTTGTTGATGTAACAATGATTAGTAATAGTATTGTTATTGGTTTCCCATCTCCAGCAAAGCCTTTCAGGCTTGGCCTCCCTCACTCTCTTCCACCTCCCTAAACCCTACACTCCAGCTATGCCAAACTGTTTGCTTTGCCTTGGACACACCAAGTTCTCCCATATTCCTCAAGCCTTTGCAAATGCTCCTTACTCTTCTAGAGTAATGAATGTCAATTCATCATTTAGGATCCAGCTTACAGTCATGCTTTCTGTGAAGCCTTCCTTAAATTAGCCACAAAAAAGCAGTGACTCCTCCCTGTGTTCCCATGGCCCTCTGCTCATGCCTCCTCTTTAAAGTCTGCCTTCACTGGAGTTCCCGGAAGAGAGAGTCTGCACAGCACTCATTTCTGTATCCACAGTCACCAAAATTGTATCTGCCCCATAATAAATACCCAATACTTGCAGGGATTTTGCTTGCTGGCTTGTTTCGTTTTGTTGGGATAAATGAATAAATAAATGGGAATGATTTGGACTTCACCCTAAGCCTAGCTAAAAGTTTGGGTAGTGACAGTTTTGTTTATTTTGTGTAACCTGATAGTGGATCCTTTTTTTCCATGCCTTAAAAAAAAAAAGAAAAATCCGCAAATATTAGAGTACCTGTTTTCCTAGGGAATTGGCATCAGCATCAGCAACTGAAGGAGAGGGGATTCAAGGCAGGGAGGGTGATGACTAGGTCAGCTCAGTCTTCGCAGCCGTCCCTGAGAGGGCGCTGTTCCTAAATCGAAGCCCCAGAGGCGGGGACTGAGACACGGGCGCTCTCCCACTGGACTGGGTCAGCATCCCTCACCAGGCACTGCGGCAGGTCTGGAGCAGAGCGCCTGCCCACAAACATGGCGGCGCCCTGAGCTGCTTCCCGTCGCCTGGACCGTGGGGCCAGCTCGGCCTTGCCAGTACTCGGGGACTTCCTCCGCGCGCCGGCTTCCTGCCCAGCTGGCATTTAAACCAGCGCCTGGGGCTGCAGGATGCTGCTGCGGATGCGGAGCTGTCCGCGAGCTGGGCAGCGTCGCCGCCTCCCCTGAGCCGCCTCAGTCCGGCAGGAGCGGAGCCAAAGCATCCCTTGCTGCAAGCAGAGCAGAGCAGAGCAGAGCAGGCGAGGGCTGGGGGCCGATCGGGGACCCTGGCTTCGGACCCCGTCATCTGGCAGTTTCCTTGCAGGTTCGGCTTTAATTTCGAAGACTGCACCCACTCCTCCTCCAGCCCAGATCATTTATCCTCCCTCCCGCCTGGGCTGCTGGACGCAGCGGCGGCTGGGCTTGGTCCCAGGAGCAGGGAAAGAGTGCGCTCCCTGCCCCGCTAGCCGCGTGCCCGGGCCATGGTGCGGCTGAGCCCGGCGCTTGGGTGAGGCGGCGGCGCGGCTCAGAGCCCGGCGGACCGGCCTTGCGAGGCATCTTCCCCTGAGGAGGAGCCTTACCCTAAGGCTGCGTGCCGGGGGCGAGCAGCCGCCGCGATGTTCAGCTGGCTGGGTACTGACGACCGCCGGAGGAAGGACCCCGAGGTCTTCCAGACAGTGAGCGAGGGGCTCAAGAAACTCTACAAGAGCAAGCTGCTGCCCTTGGAAGAGCATTACCGCTTCCACGAATTTCACTCGCCCGCCCTGGAGGATGCCGACTTTGACAACAAGCCCATGGTTCTGCTGGTGGGCCAGTACTCCACGGGGAAGACCACCTTCATCAGGTGAGCGGGCCCAGGGTCCGGCAGCCCACCCCGGTCAGTGCCCGGCGCTTAGTCCCTCTGGTCACTCCTGGTGCTCCACCCCTGCCAGGGGACCAATGGGAAGCCTTCAGTTGAGGGCTCTGAAGAGGTGTGTTTGTGCAGGCGTCAAAAGCTTACCCCACAATTTTTGCTGGTCTCCCTCCCCAACCTATCCAATGCCTGTCCACTGTACTTGACCCTTGGGCTCTAGTGGTCAACCTGAAGTACTAAAGTGTAAAGCCATTTCTGGTCTCCCCATCTTATGGATGATGAAACCGAGGCCCAGGAGGCACCGTGGGGGAGCTCCTGGTCTCTGGAGAGCCTTATGTTGGTGGGGATATCTTACATCTTCACTTTTTAGGAACACATTATTCACCGGCAAAACCTCTTCCCTTTCTTTTCAAGGGGGCTTGGCACTCACATGGGGGCCTCACGGTTGCAGCTGAGCTCTGACAGGAGCAGGCCTGGGAACAGAGGTGGCCCGGGGATGCTACCTGTCCTCCTTTTATGATTTTCTCCTCTAAAGCAGAGCTCCTATGTGTGTATCTTGGAAACTCAACAGAAGCAGGGTCCAGAAGCAGAATGCTTTTTTTTTTTCTTTCTCTTATTTCCTCTTAATGACTCAATAATAATATTAAAGTCTCTTAGAGATGGAAGGGATATTGGCATTGTCTCATCCAGTTCCTGACTTTGCAGGTGACATAACTGAGGTGCAGAGAAGTTAAATGAATTGTTCAGAGCCGTATAAAGAGTGGGCAGCAGACCTGGGATGCAAGTCCCAGATGCATGTGAGGAGCTGGTTGGCTTAACGCCTGTAACTCTGAGAGTGAGTCATCCATTCCCTTAAATTACAGAATCCTTGGGCTGGAGGGAGGCTCAAGAAGTCAATTTGTTTGCCCTGAATTCAGAGAGGTCCACAAGAGTGATGAGAATCCTTCCTGTCTTTAGAGAACAGGCTCCTCTCTGGTCCTCAATCCTCCCAACCTTCAAGGCCAGCCATTTTTCTTGGCCTCTTTTACAGCCATTCCAAACTGTTGAGAGTGCTGTGGCCCTCTGTCTTAAGAGTCAGGCTCCCACAGCCTGAGAATGGAGTTTGGTGGCCCCTCAAAGTCAAGTATGCTCATTTCCTGCAGAGGGCTTGGAAAGCAGGGGTATTCTTGTTCCTATTCATCGGTTCTTTGAGCGTCTGCAACATGCAAAATGCTGTGCTTTGTTTGGTGAGGAGAGCAGAAAAGTTAACAGTCTAGTTACTAATTGTCTAGGTGCTAATTTTCTCTAACATCAACCTTGTAATGCAAGCCTTCTGGAAGTAGCACCATGCCAATAGGTCATGTCTCAACACAACACCACATTGAGTTTGTCCTTGTGGAGTGCATAGCCTAGGGCTCAGAAGCTTTGAGAAGCCAAGTGATTTTTTTTTTTTTAAACAGTCTTGCCCTGTTGTCCAGGCTGGAGGCAGTGGTGCAATCTCAGCTCACTGCAACCTCTGCCTCCCAGGTTCTAGCGATTCTCCTGCCTCAGCCTCCCAAGTAGCTGGGATCACAGGTGCCCACCACCATGCCTGGCTAATTTTTTGTATCTTTAGTAGAGATGGGGTTTCACCATGTTGGTCAGGCTGATCTCCAACTCCTGACCTCATGATTCGCCCGCCTCAGCCTCCCAAAGTGCTGGGATTATAGGCATGAGCCACTGCACCCAAGAAGCCAAGTGATTTCTGAAGTAGTTTGGGATCTGGAGGTGAAGGGCCTGTAGGCTCTTGTATGTTTAGTAATCTAATCAGTTGCTTCTTAACTTTCTATTTTTAGAAAAATGTATATATATCCCAATAATGTTGGGGGTCCAAGGGCCATCTTTGGATCTTAGGGTGGGAACCCCTGATCTAAGCCATGCTTCTTATTTTATTAAGCACCCATTGCAGCCAAAGGCACTTCAAAGCTGCCTGGGTTGTGTGCAAGGTTTCCTTTGTGAGCCCTGTCCTCCATTTGGCCCATTCATGCCTCAACAGAAGTGCGGGCCATTTGCAGATGGCCTCTGCTCTCTCACAGCCTTCCCTGGCTCTCTGGACATACGTTATTATAACCTTTCATACGTTAGCTGGAGCTTCTCCTTCCTGGAGTATGAGCACTGACCAGACAGCATCTATGCCTTAGCATATCTGGGGCCTCCCCCAGGTCTCAGCTATAGGAGGTTCCCAGCAGACATTTTGCAGAATGGGAGGGAAGATGGGGAAAGACAAGGATGCCCAAGCAGCAGACAGGTTTAAGTGCCTTTTGTCTGAGACACTCTCTAGGCTTTGCCTGAGTCATCGCTGGCTGTTAACTGGGTCTAAGAAAGTGGCAGATTCAAATTGCCACAGATGATTCCTTATCTGAGGGAGCCAGCAAGACTGGAGAGGCAGATCACTCTTCTTTCTTATCCTCCATGTGCAAGAGTTCCCTCTCCCCACTCATGTCAGCGACGGAATTTAGCTCATGCATCAAAAGCAGCCTCCCTTTGAGGGAGTGTCAGCCAGCACCATAGGAGGGGTCGTAACACAGGGAACCCTCCAGAACCAAATCATGTATTTTTCTTCTTTCTCATAAAATCCAATAAACAGTTGTTTTTAATTGGAAAATATAGAAAAGAATAAAGAAGAAAAAACGTCATCCATAATCCCATGACTTAGGAGAAGCTATTTTAATTTATATATAAAACGTATTTAGGCTGAGCATGGTGGCTCACACCTGTAATCCCAGCACTTTGGGAGGCCGAGGCAGGTGGATCATGAGGTCAACAGATCGAGACCATCCTGGCCAACATGGTGAAACCCCATATCTACTAAAAAAAAAAATACAAAAACTAGCCGGGTGTGGTGGTGCGTGCCTGTAGTCCCAGCTCCTCTGGAATTTGAGGCAGGAGAATAATTGCTTGAACCCAGGAGGCAGAGGTTGCAATGAGCTGAGATTGTGCCACTGCACTCCAGCCTGGCAACAGAGAAAGGCTCTATCTCAAAAAAAAAAAATTATATATAAAGCATATAATTTATATGTAAAATATATTTCTAGTATTTTTGTAGCTATTTTATAGTACAGTTGAGAATATGCTGTACACATAATTTTGCATGCTGGCTTGTTTGCTTTTGTTTTTGAGTTGGAATCTCACTGTGTCACCCAGGCTGGAGTGCAATGGCGCAGTCTCAGCTCCTCTGCCTTCCGGGTTCAAGCTATTTTCCTACCTCAGCATCCCAAGTAGCTGAGATTACAGATGCCCACCACACCTGGCTAATTTTTGTATTTTAAGTAGAGCTGGGGTTTCGCCATGTTGAGCAGTCTGGTCTCTAACTCCTGATCTCAGGTGATCCACCAACCTTGGCTTCCCAAAGAATTGAGGATTACAAACATGAGGCACTGTGTCCAGTGTTTTTTTTTTTTTTTTTTTTTCTTATAGCTTGAACATTTCCCATCTTATAAGCATTATTTTTAACAACTGCATACTATTTCATTGTGTGTATCTACAAATCTTCATTTACTTAATCTTCTTTTGGATGTTTTAGGTTGTTTCTAATTTTTTTGTTATCTTAGAATCATTCTGAATATGTGCGTAATATTTTTTCCTATATTATATGTTTTCTTGAATTATTGCCAGGTCAAGGGTTAGGCAGAGTTTTGTTTAAATTATTTTTTAACTTAAAAATTTTTCTATTAAGAGTCATATTTCGCAGTTGCTTTCCAAGAGGGTAAGTTGACCATCCCTTCCCCAGGGCGAGTAAGGCTGCTCTGGGGTGGGTGAGCGCGTCCCTGCCTAGGTCTCAGAAGGCCTCCTTCACTTTCTTCTCCCATCCCTGCCTCTCACGTTGATTCTTGTCTCCATCCCAGGCCTGAACCTGTGAGGGACCTTTTCCTCGGAAACAAAGCCTTGCCTCTTCATTCCCCCAGCTCTTGGCGTTTTGCCCCTGAGCGTCCATCTCTTTGTTCTATGTGCTTGCCACGGGGTCTAATTCTTGTCTCAGGAAGTACACACAGAAAAGGACATTCTTCTAATAACTTATTAATGTGCTGTGATCTCTGCCTGAAATAACTTCCCTGGCCTAAGGCCCGGCAACACAGAGTAATAAAATAAACAGTAAATTGGCTTGGCAGCTGCCCTCTCCAACACAGGCTGCCTCTTTGGAGTATAGTAGCTCTGTGTCTCACTGGCCATGGCAGCCTTTCCTCCTGCCTCTGCTATTCTTCTCCCTTGGCTATTTCTCTGGCTGGCATGCAGCCTTGAATCACTTCTTCCTTGGACCATCTGATCCTTGGTCACTCCTCACTGTCTACTTCTGTGGCCCCTTATTCTGCAGGTAGCGGAGGTGAGTAGCTGGCTGCTCCAGGGGCTAAGGAAGGAAGGCCTGGGTACTTCCACGGGCCATGAGGGAGGCCTCCCTGGGCCTTGGCAGGGCTGAGGTAGAGGCTCTAGCGGGTTCGCTGTGGGGCCTGGGGCTGCAGAGCTAAGCTGCCCTGGGCTCCGTAGGGAGACTGGGCTGGTCTGGAGGGCTGCACAGGCCTTCTATTGTGTGACGTGGATTCCGAGGCATGAGCACATGGTGGGGCTGCTGGAATGAGAGTCTACCGTGAGGGCTACTGAGCTGGCCCTTTCAGCCTCTCCAACTTTGGGAGACTCTGCAACCTCCCTCCCCAAAGGTGATTTGACATTTGCCTGTGGCTGCACCAGCTCACATCACCACCCTGACATCCCCACTCCAGGCATTACAGTGCCACCGTGCTGGGAAAGATGATTCTCCAGAAAGCCAAGGCGTTAGAGTAAGAGGGCCACTACCCCAGTAGACCCACTCAGTGCAAAGTCCATCCTGCCAGGCACAGTCCCTGTACCATCTTCAGCCCTGTCCCCCCACCAAGGCCAGGGGATGTCATAGTAAGAGTCATATTTCGCAGTTGCTTTCCAAGAGGGTGAGGGTGCACCAGCTCTTTTTCTGTCAGGGTTCTGATCTGCTGGGTCTCTAA